TGAAATCCCCCCCTTCCCCCCCCCCCCCCCCCCCCCCCCATAATCCCATCAAATCTAACAGATAAATTCAATAAATATTTTATGAAAAATTAAAGATACTAATTTTTGACAAACTTAAAAGATGGAAACTATCAAATAGTACATACTTAAAGACTTTATGAATCAACCCTCCACACATATGGACCATGTTTTTTTCCCCTTTTTACTCGGCGTTCGATATCCATTATAAAGTTCGATTAAAATTTGAATTCATGTCAGAATACACGCTTCCTAACCAAAATAACTCTACGCTTCCTAACCAAAATAACTCTATACTTAAAGACTCAAATTCAAAACCTCTAATTACTAGACCATTTTATCATTTTCTCAAACATCAATTAGTACACAAAAACAATTCTCGATAACATACCAAATATATAGAAAAATTCCCTATGAAGAGTAAATTGCTCCTTAACAAAGACAATTTCGCATTCCGATGACTCAAATTCGAAAACTCTGATAAAAATGAAGTACTTACTACTCTACTTCAACCCAGGTCGGTCCATGTTTATCATTTTCTCAATATCAATACACAAAAGTAATTCTTGAAAAGATACCAAAAGTATAGAAAATTGAGTAAAAATGTTACCTTTTGCAGTATTTTGAGTTCTTCACGAGCATTCCACTTCATTTTCTTGATTGCAAACACTTCACCATCAATTGTTCCTTTATACACAGATCCTTGTATCAAACACCCTTCATCAAATCCATCTGTTGCTTCCCAAATTTGTTCCATTTTATACATTTTATACTTATCCAAACACTCAGATACATCAGCCAACAAATTCACTTCAACATCTTTATCAACAAAAGACCCCTTTTTTGATCCAGCATACAAACTTTTTTGTCTTTCTACATCACTATACCCTTCTTTCTTCACTGTTTTCTCTCTATAAAACAAACCAAGAACCAAAATCAACAAAACCCCACAAACCCCTAAACCAATTGCTAACCCTATAACAGTTCCTTTTCTGTCATTTTCTTGATTTACTGGTGCAGGGGTTGCAGGGGGTGAATAAAATGATTTTTACTAGTAGTACACAAAAGCAATTCTGCAGTGGATACGTATATATGCAGAATTTTACGTAACGTTTTTTTTTTTACCTTTTGCAGGATTTTGAGTTCTTCGCGGGCATTCCATTTCATTTTTTTGATTGCAAACACTTCTTCATCAATTGTTCCTTTAAACACAGACCCTTGAATCAAACACCCTTCATCAAATCCATTTGTTGCTTCCCAAAGTTGTACCATTTTATACATTTTATACTTATCCAAACACTCTGATAAATCAGCCAACAAATTCACTTCAACATCTTTATCAACAAAAGACTTCTTTTTTGATCCAAGATACAAACTTTTTTGCCTTTCTACATCACCATACTTTTCTTTCTTTACTGTTTTCTCCTTGTAAAACAAACCAAGAATCAAAATCAACAGCAACCCACAAACCCCTAAACCAATTGCTAACCCTATGACAGTCTCTTTTCTGTCATTTTCTTGAATTACTGGTGCTGGTGCTGGGGGTGGGGGTGGGGTGTTTGAAGATGCTGGCTGTGTAAGATTAGGTAGATTAGAAAGAGGGATGAAAAGGGTATCAAGAATCTTGGTGTTATTTCCATTAATTTGTGTTATAGATTGTGGGGTTACCCTGAATCTTGAGGCGACAGAAGAAATGTTATCATTAGGTTGAAAAACATAACTTATGAGTAGTCTTGGTTGATTTTGTGTCGTGTTTGGACACTTGCAAAAAATTGGGAATTTTATGGTCTGGCCTACATCAATGTTGGTTGCTACAACTGTGGGATTAACAGCCTCAACAGATTGATAAGTAGTAAGATTTTGGTATTTAGATGTTGATATACCATACATAGTGTCACCTGATTTGAAAGTGTAGTTAAAGCCAGCATAAGATATGCTACCATATGTTGTGTTGATGTTGTTACAAGAACATGTGATGGGGATAAAAAGGGGTTGATCATTAACAAGAGTTGTGTTTGGGTTGGAAATATTACTAGGGTTTGCTATCATTAGTCTACTTACTGAAAAAAGATCACCAATTGAGGCTAAATCAAGAAAGTCTGGTCCTCTAGCTCTGTATAACACATAAGTTTGACATGGATTGAATTGGTTAGGATTACAAGTATATCCTGTGATGCTTGGTGGCTCTTGTGCATAACATATTATGTTTTGGTTGAATATGAATGATAAGAATAAGAGAAGTGAAAAAACAAATATTGGTCTTGTTATCATTTTCTTGGTTTTGGTTGAAGGAGAGATGTGTGTGTATATAATATGATGGAGTTATAAGAGGTTTATATACCAAAGTTCTTGTTTTTTGTCATAGTCTTGGTTTTTGACCATTTAATGAGTGATGGGGATTTTTTGCATTATTTGATTGGTTGTTGTTGTTTAATTTCTCATATGGTATTGTCTTTAACATTAAAGGAAGATGGGTTTTTTTTCAATTTGATGGTCCCACCTAGAAGAGTTTTTGGTCAACCATATTGTAGAAAATACTCGTGTTTATATTTGTTGTTTTTCTCCAGAATGTTTTCACATGTTTGGACTAGCTATTTCTGAGATACGTCTTTTTCCAAGGTATATTAAACTATTGCAAGAGTTAGGGGAAATACTTTTCATTCAGGGTCGTTTGGTAGTTGGTTTGGAGTTGAGTTATGCAGGTTAAGTTACGTAATACCATGTTTGATAGCTGATTTAGGAGGTAATTTAGAAAACCGCATAACTAATACATGCAATTTTAAAGAATTGACACAAGTGCAAGATCATTTTTGAAGAATCCAAGCAACATAACATAAAGATAAATTCATTACAAGTGTCTTATGTGGTACTAATATATATTCCACTAGAACAACCTTAAACATGCTCTTATTCGAAATTGGATTTACCACTACTACTAGAAAAGATAATATAGGAGTAATATTACACTTATATAGAAGCAAACTTTAAAGTAAAGTACAAACCTCAAAACACAAAATGCTACTCCACTTCAAAACAACTTTACATAATATGCAAGTACTATTATGTAGTCTATCTTGCTGTGACTTGCCTTGGAGATGGTCCTTCCTCTGAAACATCAGAAAATAGATCAATACTTTTAGATAAGGCATACACAATTTCAATCATCCCTGGCCTTCTTGAAGGATCTTTATTCAAACATGAAATAGCCACAGTCATCACATTCACAACACTTTCCATTGTTAATTCTTCCCTCAATAGACTTTCATCCATCCATTCTTGCAATTTCCTCACCTTCCTCTCTTCACTCCCTTCAGAAAAATCGCTAATTTTTGCCCACAAGACTTTCCCTTCATCATCGATAGCCTCCTTCCCTGACACAAGCTCGAGCAACACAACCCCGAATGAGAAAACATCCATTTTAGTGGATACAACCCCATCAGTGAGGTACTCAGGGGAGATGTACCCCTGAGTACCTACAATGTGCATTGTTATAGCATTGCACCCTGATTTAGCTAGACCAAAATTGGCAACTTTGGCTCTCATGTTGGAGTCTAGGAGAATGTTGCTACTCTTGATGTCTTTGTGGACAACTCTTGGCCTTGTATGTTCATGAATGTATAAGAGACCATTTGCAACATCAGTGGCAATCCTTAGTCTTGTTTTCCAGCTCAATTTTTCAGGTTTTTCACCGTGAAGCCAAGAATGTAGTGAACCATTTTCAACATACTCATAGACTAAGTAGCAATTTGCTTCTTTAGGGTCTATGCAAAAACCCTCTAGCTTCACCAAATTCCCATGGTTCACCTACACAAACAAAAAAAGGTGAAAAGAATGACATATATTCTATCCAGTAACAATTTAACTTTAAAGTGTTCATGTTATCCTTAATAAAATGATTTTTACTAGTAGTACACAAAAGCAATTCTGCAGTGGATACGTATATATGCAGAATTTTACGTAACGTTTTTTTTTTTACCTTTTGCAGGATTTTGAGTTCTTCGCGGGCATTCCATTTCATTTTTTTGATTGCAAACACTTCTTCATCAATTGTTCCTTTAAACACAGACCCTTGAATCAAACACCCTTCATCAAATCCATTTGTTGCTTCCCAAAGTTGTACCATTTTATACATTTTATACTTATCCAAACACTCTGATAAATCAGCCAACAAATTCACTTCAACATCTTTATCAACAAAAGACTTCTTTTTTGATCCAAGATACAAACTTTTTTGCCTTTCTACATCACCATACTTTTCTTTCTTTACTGTTTTCTCCTTGTAAAACAAACCAAGAATCAAAATCAACAGCAACCCACAAACCCCTAAACCAATTGCTAACCCTATGACAGTCTCTTTTCTGTCATTTTCTTGAATTACTGGTGCTGGTGCTGGGGGTGGGGGTGGGGTGTTTGAAGATGCTGGCTGTGTAAGATTAGGTAGATTAGAAAGAGGGATGAAAAGGGTATCAAGAATCTTGGTGTTATTTCCATTAATTTGTGTTATAGATTGTGGGGTTACCCTGAATCTTGAGGCGACAGAAGAAATGTTATCATTAGGTTGAAAAACATAACTTATGAGTAGTCTTGGTTGATTTTGTGTCGTGTTTGGACACTTGCAAAAAATTGGGAATTTTATGGTCTGGCCTACATCAATGTTGGTTGCTACAACTGTGGGATTAACAGCCTCAACAGATTGATAAGTAGTAAGATTTTGGTATTTAGATGTTGATATACCATACATAGTGTCACCTGATTTGAAAGTGTAGTTAAAGCCAGCATAAGATATGCTACCATATGTTGTGTTGATGTTGTTACAAGAACATGTGATGGGGATAAAAAGGGGTTGATCATTAACAAGAGTTGTGTTTGGGTTGGAAATATTACTAGGGTTTGCTATCATTAGTCTACTTACTGAAAAAAGATCACCAATTGAGGCTAAATCAAGAAAGTCTGGTCCTCTAGCTCTGTATAACACATAAGTTTGACATGGATTGAATTGGTTAGGATTACAAGTATATCCTGTGATGCTTGGTGGCTCTTGTGCATAACATATTATGTTTTGGTTGAATATGAATGATAAGAATAAGAGAAGTGAAAAAACAAATATTGGTCTTGTTATCATTTTCTTGGTTTTGGTTGAAGGAGAGATGTGTGTGTATATAATATGATGGAGTTATAAGAGGTTTATATACCAAAGTTCTTGTTTTTTGTCATAGTCTTGGTTTTTGACCATTTAATGAGTGATGGGGATTTTTTGCATTATTTGATTGGTTGTTGTTGTTTAATTTCTCATATGGTATTGTCTTTAACATTAAAGGAAGATGGGTTTTTTTTCAATTTGATGGTCCCACCTAGAAGAGTTTTTGGTCAACCATATTGTAGAAAATACTCGTGTTTATATTTGTTGTTTTTCTCCAGAATGTTTTCACATGTTTGGACTAGCTATTTCTGAGATACGTCTTTTTCCAAGGTATATTAAACTATTGCAAGAGTTAGGGGAAATACTTTTCATTCAGGGTCGTTTGGTAGTTGGTTTGGAGTTGAGTTATGCAGGTTAAGTTACGTAATACCATGTTTGATAGCTGATTTAGGAGGTAATTTAGAAAACCGCATAACTAATACATGCAATTTTAAAGAATTGACACAAGTGCAAGATCATTTTTGAAGAATCCAAGCAACATAACATAAAGATAAATTCATTACAAGTGTCTTATGTGGTACTAATATATATTCCACTAGAACAACCTTAAACATGCTCTTATTCGAAATTGGATTTACCACTACTACTAGAAAAGATAATATAGGAGTAATATTACACTTATATAGAAGCAAACTTTAAAGTAAAGTACAAACCTCAAAACACAAAATGCTACTCCACTTCAAAACAACTTTACATAATATGCAAGTACTATTATGTAGTCTATCTTGCTGTGACTTGCCTTGGAGATGGTCCTTCCTCTGAAACATCAGAAAATAGATCAATACTTTTAGATAAGGCATACACAATTTCAATCATCCCTGGCCTTCTTGAAGGATCTTTATTCAAACATGAAATAGCCACAGTCATCACATTCACAACACTTTCCATTGTTAATTCTTCCCTCAATAGACTTTCATCCATCCATTCTTGCAATTTCCTCACCTTCCTCTCTTCACTCCCTTCAGAAAAATCGCTAATTTTTGCCCACAAGACTTTCCCTTCATCATCGATAGCCTCCTTCCCTGACACAAGCTCGAGCAACACAACCCCGAATGAGAAAACATCCATTTTAGTGGATACAACCCCATCAGTGAGGTACTCAGGGGAGATGTACCCCTGAGTACCTACAATGTGCATTGTTATAGCATTGCACCCTGATTTAGCTAGACCAAAATTGGCAACTTTGGCTCTCATGTTGGAGTCTAGGAGAATGTTGCTACTCTTGATGTCTTTGTGGACAACTCTTGGCCTTGTATGTTCATGAATGTATAAGAGACCATTTGCAACATCAGTGGCAATCCTTAGTCTTGTTTTCCAGCTCAATTTTTCAGGTTTTTCACCGTGAAGCCAAGAATGTAGTGAACCATTTTCAACATACTCATAGACTAAGTAGCAATTTGCTTCTTTAGGGTCTATGCAAAAACCCTCTAGCTTCACCAAATTCCCATGGTTCACCTACACAAACAAAAAAAGGTGAAAAGAATGACATATATTCTATCCAGTAACAATTTAACTTTAAAGTGTTCATGTTATCCTTAATAAAATGATTTTTACTAGTAGTACACAAAAGCAATTCTGCAGTGGATACGTATATATGCAGAATTTTACGTAACGTTTTTTTTTTTACCTTTTGCAGGATTTTGAGTTCTTCGCGGGCATTCCATTTCATTTTTTTGATTGCAAACACTTCTTCATCAATTGTTCCTTTAAACACAGACCCTTGAATCAAACACCCTTCATCAAATCCATTTGTTGCTTCCCAAAGTTGTACCATTTTATACATTTTATACTTATCCAAACACTCTGATAAATCAGCCAACAAATTCACTTCAACATCTTTATCAACAAAAGACTTCTTTTTTGATCCAAGATACAAACTTTTTTGCCTTTCTACATCACCATACTTTTCTTTCTTTACTGTTTTCTCCTTGTAAAACAAACCAAGAATCAAAATCAACAGCAACCCACAAACCCCTAAACCAATTGCTAACCCTATGACAGTCTCTTTTCTGTCATTTTCTTGAATTACTGGTGCTGGTGCTGGGGGTGGGGGTGGGGTGTTTGAAGATGCTGGCTGTGTAAGATTAGGTAGATTAGAAAGAGGGATGAAAAGGGTATCAAGAATCTTGGTATTATTTCCATTAATTTGTGTTATGGATTGTGGGGTTATCCCGAATCTTGATGCGATAGAAGAAATGTTATCATTAGGTTGAAAAACATAACTTATGAGTAGTCTTGGTTGATTTTGTGTCGTGTTTGGACACTTGCAAAAAATTGGGAATTTTATGGTCTGGCCTACATCAATGTTGGTTGCTACAACTGTGGGATTAACAGCCTCAACAGATTGATAAGTAGTAAGATTTTGGTATTTGGATATTGACATTTCATACATAGTGTCACCTTCTTTGAAATTGTAGTTTAAGCCAGCATAAGATATGCTACCAAAAGTTGTGTTGATGTTATTGCAAGAACATGTGATGGGGATAAAAAGGGATTGATCATTAACAAGAGTTGTGTTTGGGTTGGAAATATTACTTGGGTTTGCAATCATTACCCTACTTACTGAAAAAAGATCACCTATTGTGGCTAAATCAAGAAACTCTGGTCCTCTAGCTCTGTATAACACATAAGTTTGACATGGATTGAATTGGTTGGGATTACAAGTATATCCTGTTATGCTTGGTGGATCTTGTGCATAACATATGTTTTGGTTGAATATGAATGATAAGAAGAGAAGAAGTGAAAAACCAAATATTGTTTTTGTTATCATTTTTTTTGCTTTGTTTTTTTGTTGGAGGAGAGATGTGTGTTTGTATAAAATATGATGGAGTTATATACGTTTATATACCAAACTTCTTCTTGTTTTTTCTCATATTTAGTCTTGGTTTTGACCATTTAATGAGTAATGGGGATTTTTTTTTCATTTGATTGGTTGTTGTTTAATTTCTCATATGATGTTGTGTTGAACATTACGGGTCGTTTGGTAAAGTGTATTAGCAAAAATAATGCATGCATTAGCTCTGTGTATTAGTAATATTTTATTTGATACACTTTTTCATGATATGTATACACTGTATTGTGTATTAAGGTATGTATTACTAATACCATGAATTTCTAGGTATCAGTAATGCATGAGGTTTTATAATGCATGCATTAGCATGGTTAAAAGCTTCATTTCCCCTCAAATATGTTTTTTTACATCTTTTCCACCATAAATTGTAAATGATATCTTTGTAAATAAATATTTGTATACCATGCTAGTTTTAATACACCAAACCAAACAATGCATAACAAATAATTTATGTATAATTAATTCAAGTATTATTAATTTAAGCATAACTAATACACTCTATCAAACGAAGATGGAGGTTTTCCAATTTGATGGTCCCACCTAGAAGAGTCTTTTGTCAACCATATTGTAGAAAATACTCATGTTTATATTTGTTGTTTTTTCTGCAAGAGGTTTTCACATGTTTGGACTACTAGCTATAGCTATTTCTGAGATACATCTTTTTCCAAGGTATATAAAACTATTGCAATAATTAGGGAAAACCTTGTTCATTCAGAGTGGTTTGGTAGTTTGTTTGGAGTTAAGTTATGTAGATATCAAATTTTGCGTAAGTAATATTATGTTTGGTGGCTTGTTATTTTATAAATTATGTATGTGATTGATTTGCAATTTAGAAATTCGCATAACTAAGACATATATAAGTTATGAAAAAAAATCTATATATTACTTTATGCAAAATAAAAGATGAAATAACTAATACACAATATTAATTATGAGAAAATTTAAGTATTATTTTATACATGATAGAGTATATAAATAACTAAACTCTGCATATTAATAGCCAATATTAAGCCAAACTTTATTTTCCAAATCAAACGTCAACTTTGGTCTAGAATCCTAATAGCCAAATTCCACTTTGGATTTATTTAGGAAGACCAAGACTTATAAACTTGACTTATGGATGCCAATGGGGCCTTTGAGGAGTATTGGAGAGGTCATTTATAAGGACTTTTTGCCATCGAATAGTGACACATAAAAATTCGGTATTATCTGATACTGCTTCGTATTTTTATTTTTATGTATGCACATAATATTTTAAAATTTCATGCGTACAATAAACTTGACAAAATAAGAGATAAATTCAAATATAAAGCCTCAATATTATGAAACTCTTAGTTTTAAATTTTAAAGAGGAATTTAGGATCTGAGAGTTCTAAATATATAAAATTTTAAGTAAAAGTTATTGAATTCAAACTCACACATGATAAATCTACTTCTACTTTCAAGATAAATTGTGATGACAAATAGATGACACTTCTTGTCCGTCTGTAAATCACTACTGTCTTTGTGAAAGTGATCTTTGACCAAGTCCATTTGAACAAGTCATAAACTATTCAAGAGTTAAAAATCAATAACAATGACAACTATTTCAGTTTAATTTTACAAATACAATTTACACGAAGGATAAAATGTGTGTAGTCCTATCTTAATTTTATGAGATAGAAAAGTTATTTTCAATTGATTTTTGACAATTTTTCTCTTTTATTCAGACTTGACACCAACAATCTAAGCAAGCTCACATGCGAAGAGTTCAAGAGTTAAAAGATAGGAAAGTACTAATGCACATAGGTTTGTTGAACCTCATAAAAATTTTGGTCCAAGCAAAGCTTCACCTTTTACTATGATTGGTAACATCATAAGTACATTTCTATTGCACCTTTTTCCCATATCGAATCCACCTCTGTCTTTAGTGATGAAATTAACACAATTGGACATTAAAATATATGTTGTTATTGTTGAGCATGCAAACTAATTTCTACATATGAAGTTGAAAAGAAAAAAATACACACATATAAGATGTAGGATTCTCTTAATGATGTGAGACTTTTTAGAAAAACCTGCAGACTTGATTCAAAACGGATAATATCATACCATGTAAAAGTATTGATCCAACAACTCGTATTAAAGCTAATGATTCGATGACACGATTAGGTGACATACAATTAATCTTCAAATTGGCCCATAAATGATGAAGACCAAGACTTTTAAACTTGACTATGGAAGCCAATGGGGTCCTTTGGAGAGTATTGGAGGGGTCATTAAAAGGACTTTTGCCATCAAATAGTGACACATAAATGCTTGGTATTATTTGACACCACTTCGTATTTTTTTTTATTTCTTATATATTTTCATAATATCTGAAATTTCAATCTTTTCAAAAGTTTGGCTAAACAAGCTAGTATTAGATAAAAAATAAAGCCTTGAAATCACCCGTCTTATACCTAAATCTTAAA